AGAACCACCATCGACTACATGCATTTGATTTGTTGTTCAGGTAGGTATTGGTAGAAATCATCGACATGAAAAATGTTAAAACATTTTTAAGTAAAAGAGATGCTTTTGCTTAATACCCATGGTAAGATTCTGTGGCTCCCATTCAGCATTCACAGTGAGGCATGCAGTACGATAAAATGACAGACTGACAGGTAAATTACGGCTCTCGCGTGTCTTAGCCATTGTGTAACTACCCGCCGTGTGTGTTCCTTGCCGTCCTCAGTGTAACTTCCCTGTGTTTGTTGTGTGGTCCTTTTCGCCACAGCGCCCCACAAAGTGGCTCCCCATCTGGGACGGCGTCGGCGACCGGGGAAGGCGAGAGCTTCCGGAGGTTCTGAGCCGTGAGGAGCAGCACGACCCCAGCTGCAAGCCTGCCCAAAGGAGGAAGCAAGCAGAGGCTGCTCTCCTCAGTCGGGGGTAGGTGTGCCGTACGCTGGGGGCCCAGCTGGCTCAGGAGCAACGCAAGCCGGACGAGCAGCGGCGGCAGAGTCAGTAGGAAAGGCGAGAGATGGAACAGCTGCCCGCGCAGGAGCGGGACTGACAGCTGCGTCTGCCTGAGGTAGCGGAGGAGGGGCTGCAATGCCGGCGGCCGCCAGCACTCGAGGACCCGGGAGCTAACACCCCCCATTGTAGATGCACCTGCGGCTGCCACCACACCTTTGAGACTTGTTCCAAGGCTGAGGTAGGGACTGTTGGTGGTGGTCATTGGGACGGCTGACCATAGGGGGGGCAGTGTAGCGCTGGCAGCATCTGCATGTTCTGGCATGCCTAGCACGCACATGTATATACCCCCTTTGTATTTGCTAGTGTAGAAAAAAATTCTATGGTACGATGCACAAAAACGGTTTGACTAAGCTTTGTTACGCAAACTTAGAAAATCCTGCCTCTGACTATTGAAATTGCTTAGTTCTGGAAGTCCTGGCTTGTACAGAGGTACTGTCTATATCTGCGGCTGTACACACAGCGGCCAGTGTCTGTAGCCACTGGCTCTCCTCAGCATCCGCTTTGCCTGCTGGATGTCCATCACTCACAGGAAAATATGCTGTGAGCTCATGCGTTTATTGGGAGAATAAAACATGCCAACAAGCAGGAATTAATAAAACTCACAATCCATAAAGCCTAACCTGCTAAACATCCATCCATCCATCCATCCATCGTTTGCCTCTTAACCGGGATGGAGTTGCAGGGGGAGCAGTTTAAGCTACACTGCACATGTCCCCCACAGCTCCCCCTGCTGGTGGTGGGCAAACCCACTTTACCCCTTTAGGCCATGCCTGGACCAGCCCAAGGGTGGAGACCCGGCCACCAGACGCTCGCCTTTGAGCGAGACCGTGACGCAAAACTAAAGAGATGTTTATTTACTGTTCACATGGGGTACACCATGATTTACTATGTGCTTATTTCCTAATTTTCTAGCATGTCCAGGTGTTTATTAGTGAGCTGAATACTGGCGAAGGCACAAAGTAAAGGACCACAAGGGGTCAAAAGTAAATGACAGAAACCAAGAACTAACTACAAAAACATCTAAAAGGGCAACACAGGGAACAGCACGAGGAAACCCAAAGAGAGCATCAACACAACACATTCTGACACAAACTAACACAACAACCAAATCAGGCAAATGAACTAAAGTAAGAACTTAAATACACAAACTGGACTGAGCTAATGAGGACACAGGAGAGAAGCATTAACTTACCAACCAATCAAAGCAGAACACAGTACAAGCAACAGGTGATACTAATGAACAGGGAGAGATCACTGAACTAGGAAGGTTAAACTAGAAAATACTAATCAAACACTGGAAATACAAGACTGATACAAAATACAAGTATAAAAAACCAAATCCTAACACAGGGAGGGTGGACCATGAATGGGAGAACTGTCATAAAGCACTAAGAAAACCAAAACCCAGAACTACAAACACTAGGGAACAAAAGTCAAACAAAATACAGAACAAGCAACATTGGAATGTGCCAGCTTCAAACCCATGACCCCTGACTTTGTAGACGGAGCCACATGCTCAGCCCACTACACCATGTGGCGGTCTAGGGAACGGGGGAGACACATTAGGGAAGATTAGGAACTAAGACAGAGCGGGAGAAAGACGGAATGGCCAGCAGTGCCTGCTGGGCTGCTCTCTGCCCAAAAACACATAAGCATAAGCTCAAAGCAAACCCCAAAGTCAGTATCTTTTGGGGTCACGTTCACCTAACCCTATTTTTCCCCACTGGATATGTAAGCTCCCCGTCCTCAGCAGGAATGCCCAGTGTTGGGGGGGAGACCCAGAAGTCGCCCCTGACTGCGTGCGTGTGGCACAGTTGGATCTTTCTGGATTGCACCTTTGTTCCAGCCCCTGACTGAGGTGGGGGGTTCCTCCAGTGAGAAGGACCATGCCCCCTAGGGATTGTGCTGCTGCCCGCGTCACGTCCAAACATGGCTACTCTGCTGATGTCCACAAAGTATGGAACCATCACGAAGCCAGTGGAAGTAACCTCAGAGCGCCGGGGGAATGCATCGCCTGCAGAGGTGTGGCCCCGTGGGTCACCAATCTCAGGCTCAGCCATGGTGGGGGTCTGTCCCCTGGATGCTGACATGTTCTGAGCTACAGAAAATATCATACAAGCTGCTTCTACCGGCTGCCCATCGATCTCTGCAGGTGGTTGGCCAGCCAGCCATGGGCTGGAGGTGTCAGACCACTTGTGCAATTCTGATGGAACAATAAACAGGAACATAAGTCATGTCAAGACCTTTCACACCAAGTTACTGCAGCGTTGCTCCTCGAGCGGCTCAGCCGAGGTCGGGATCACGTGGCTGCACTTCCTGATTC